AAACGTCAGCCTTCCTGCTACTCTGATGCTGCTTGGCCTGCTGTGTTCATCCAGCTCTACACCTTGTTATCTCAGATTCTCCAGCATCTGCAGTTCCTACTATCACTGTACCTCCTACTTGGGTTCACTGGTAATATACAAAATCATTTCATCCCCACAGCGTGTAAACAGGCCATTCAGCCGATTGTGTCCACACTTACCCTCCAAAGAGCATCCCACCTAGATCCAAATCCCTACCCTGTCCCTGTAACCCCACATTTCCCATGGCTAATCCACCTAGCCTGCACATCCCTGGACATTATGAGCAATTATTAGCATGGCCAATCCATCTAACCCACGTCTTTGGATTGTGGGAGGAAAGCCGAGCACCTGGAAGAAACCCACATGGACAGTCACCCAAGGACGGAATCAAACCCGGGTCCTTGCACTGTGATGCAGCAGTCCAAAACAAAATACTTATACAAAAGTATTAATATAACATGTATACTTGCTGGTAATGTCATTTAATGCTGATCTATTTATATTCAAAACTAACCTGTTGGAAATTGTGTTGAAGCAAATCGTGTGAGCATTATTCCAGCCCCTTCAATCAAGGCAAGAAGTATACCTCCCATAGCAGCTGATCCCACCATTGCCACTGGACCATCTAAATGAAAGTGCCCACATAGTTGATGAATTATAATAAATATGCAAACATTGAGAGAATACATTATAATAAATATGCAAACATTGTGAGAATACATTATACTGATGTTTTACTAGAAAATTTTCGAGAGAAGAGATAGAGCTAGCGTTCTTGTTTTGGTAAAAGCAAAATACTACTGATGCTGGAAATCTGAAATAAGGCCAGAAAATGGAGAAACTCAGCAGGTCTGGCAGCATTTATGGAGGAAGAAAGTGTTAATGCTTTGAGACCAAAGACTCTTCTTTAGAACTTCTTTTGCATGTTTGGACTCAAAACATTAACTGTTTCTCTCTCCACAGATGCTCCCAAATGTGCTGAGTTTTTCCAACATTTTGCATTTTTATTCTTCGCCAGGTAGTTGAGGGAAATGCAGTAGCTATGCTGCACATCAATTTCTAGAAAACCTTTGATAAGGTATCACACAGAACACAATTGGGAAAAAGAGATAAAGGTACCTGAAATTAAGAGAACAGAAGTAATTGATCAAAAAGCTGATTAGAAAGGAGGAAACAAGCTGGGCAGTTTCAAAATGGTTGGAAGTAGCTACTCATGTCTTACAAGATCTTGTTCTGGGACAACTCCCATTCACGATACACATCAATGATTTTAATAAGAAGCTAGTGAACTGGCATTCCAATTTTCAGACAATACTGAAATAGATACATACTAACTATATCTGAAGACTAGAAACACAATGGGATATTGATGAATGATTGAATGGACTAAAAAGTCGGAAACAAATTTTGATGACATCAAGTATGGGGTAGGACATTTTGATTTACAAAAGAAACCCCGAATTATCTAGCATTGGATGACGTGCGAAGACAGGGATTCAGAAGTTCAGGTTTTCAAGACATTAAGCATGTGGACTAAAGCCACAAGGACAATGGAATATTGCTTTATGGCAGCAGACATAAAATTTAAAAATTAAGACAGTCCTGTATCCAATTTCTGTCCTCAAACAATGGTAAAGATGCCAAGGAAGTACAAGAGGATAAAACACAGACCCCACTAGGATGATGCCTGCAATGAGGAAATTAATTACAAATAAAGACATAAAAAACAAATCTATTTTAATCATAAATGCAAATAAAGGAATAATTTTATATAAGTGTTTAAAATGTTGAAAGACTAAAATTGAGCAAATAGAAATATGGCTTCCAGAGTTAACACATCAAGGACGAGGGATAGAGCTGCAATATCAGAAATCAGGATAGAGACCAGAACAAATTAGTCAGGTTATAAAATGCACTACTGAAATTAGCAAACTAGTCAATGACCATGCCGGTTTCTGCTAGGCTAGATGGATGAAACAAAGAGGGATACTGACAAATGAAAATGGGGTAGATACAGTATGCAGAATTGATTTGAACAATAAACACTGATTGTTTTAATTAACTGTTTTAAATATTTTAAAAGTAGTTGACAGTGGATTATAGGGCTGTTCACTAATTAGAGAGAGAAGTGACTAGTTTAATGAGAGTCACGCCTCAGGCAAGGGGCGAGGTCGAGAAGCCATAACCTTTGTGGTGACCTCAGCCAGTCTGGGAATTGAATTTGCGCTGTTGGTGTTGCTCTGCATCGGACACCAACTGTCCAATCAACTGAGCTAATGAAGGTCCTACCTTGTCAACCATTAATCTTGTCACCAATGTCTCTCTCCGTCTATGATCACCTGAGACTTTGGCAACATTTGGTATTATAAGCTCGGCATAACTACAAGAACTTGCACTGCTTACTCAGTGGTGATTGTACAGTTGTTTCAGTTGTATAATACTTCTATAAAACATTTAGAAAATGTAAAACATTACACAACATTACACATATTTGCATGCACAGTTAAGCAAACAACACATTTTATAACCTGGTACTTCATGAATAGAACTGTGAACCTCTTAGAAAGCATTTTTGAAGCTCTGTCGTCCTACTTCCTAACCTGTATTACTGCAATACATATAAAACACATTTCAAATCAACCTGAGCCATAGCTCAAACGTAACACCTCAAATTAAAACAAAAAGCTCAATTATACAATATTTTCAACTGTTTCATGTCGGTGCCCCTGAGAAGACAAAGTCAAATTTCCTGGGCAGTTAAAAATTGTATATTGTTATAATATCATCTTCAAGAATGCTTCACAGTTTGGCTATGTCCTAGAGAATACGTATAACTTTATACATGTTACTTTTAAAGCGTTATAATAAAACTATAGGCATAATTATTTAAGACACATTCAAACATTTATAATCTAAAATTTTTAGATAGAGAAATCAAAACAATGGAAATTATTTCTATGGCAATTCCAATATAAAGAGCTAAACTCAGATTTCAAATTATAACCTATAAAAGTCCTACAAGAATTAAAGATCAGAATATAATGTCTCTCAAACTTTATCTCACTTCAGTTCCTTCAGTATCATTGGGTGAAACTGCTGGAAATCCCACCCCAATGGCATTGTGGTCCACATACAGCACACTGACAGAAACTTACTGACAGGAAGGCAGCTCACCACCACCCACTACTGGGCAACTAGGAACAGGCTATAAATGCTGGGCCAGCCAGCGATACCTACATTCCAGGAGTGAATTTTTAAAAAAAAAACTAGCAAAACACAAAATACAGGAACACTAAAAACATGATTATCAGTGAGATTAAATACAAAATACAAACTGTTTCACTTACTTCGTGCAGCTAATATTGCTCCTGTTAAGGCTCCACTGGTTATGGAGTTCCACGGATCTTCTTTACCTCTGACCTTTACTAAGCCACAGTCAATCATGGAAAACAGCCCACCCCATATAGCAAAGCTTCCTAAAATTGTAAAAGAAAGTGAATACAAGACATTGTTAATCATATTAAATTAATTGATCTAAAGTGTTGCAACCTTTTGCGGAAAGCTGAAAACATCTGTGACAGATGTCATATTAGAATACGTGCTCAATGCCTAAAATGTAGCAGACACTCAACATATCCTGATTCAAGTAAAAATATTATGAATTAAGCCACGCCAAAAAAGATAGGCCTATCAATATTATTAAAAAATGGGCTGTATTCCCTAAACATAGCAAAAGGTAATAAAATTTTGTTTTAGAAAATCTTATGGAATCCATCTTTCTACAAACTTTGCCACTGTAAGTAAAATGTGCCATGATAAGGCTCAGAAACCCAGCAATTGATAGGGAGACTGCTAAGTCTCATGACTGCTTGAATTGTAGAATGAGATGTTTCCCTCATCCAAGATGTCTCAGTGCTCATCTTGGCACCCGTATTAAACAAATGTGTTCTGCCTGGCGTGTTTCATTTGAATAACCTGGAAGATTAACAGTAAAGAAAGCCTTTTTTAATACATGTACATTTGCACAGTTCAGCATTTAGCTGTAATTGCAGGAGGTTTGCCATTTGCTCATCATGCTTGCTAACTTCTCTAATGCGAGTACCAACATAATTCAAAACAAATTACTATAGTTATTGTCCGTATTGTTAATAATAAAATGCAGGTTACATTTTTATACAAATCTAACATACCTCCTAATTGTGGAGCTCTGGTCTTAACTGCAGTCAAACTTCCACGAAGCCTGTGACTCATTCCCTGTTTTTAACCATGAAAAATATAGGCTTAGCAGCACATGAAAGCAGTGCAAAAAGGCTTAAAAAAAAAATGCAATAAATACAAAATGCCAATACCTGTAATAAAACACATAAATGGTATTTTGCAATGTCAACATAGCTCACCCAGAATATGTACAGTGCAGATTATTCTCCACTTGTGTCTGCATGCATATTTGAGGTCTCAGAACTGGCACAGAATCATACAGTACAGAAGAGACCCTTTGGTCCATTGATCTGTACCACCAAAAATACACCACTACCTTCACTATTCCCACTATCTCACACTAGGTCCATAGCTTTGAAATGTTAGGAGCCTTCAAGTGCTCATTCAAGTACTTTTAAAGATTGTGAGATTACCCACCTCAACCACACTCCCAAGAAGTATATTCCACATACCCACCATGCTCTGGGTGAAAAACGTTTTCCTCAAATCCACACTAATCCTCCTGTCTCTCATTATAAAAGAGTGCCCCTTTGCTCTTGAACCTTCGACTAAAGGGATCAGCTGCTTTCTATTCACCCTGACCACGTCCCTCATAATCTCACACACCTTTATCAGGTTCTTCTGAAACTTCTACACTCCGAAGAAAGCAATCTGAGTTTATCCAATCTCTCATTATAGTTAAAATGCTTCATTCCAGGCAACATCCTGGTGAATCTCCTCTGCACCTCTACCACTGCGTCACTCAAGATGTGAAGAGATTCTACACAACAATATCTTACCTTCTCTGGGGAGTGCCTTTTCTCCCCACTACAAAGCATGGGTATCCTCTCCCATCTACTATGGGTGCCTTTGCCCGCCCTCTCCCCATACATGTGGCCTTTCCTCACCCTCTCAACTAGTGCTTTTACCCACCCCCCATACGAACGAGCGCATTCCAATTCCTCGTCTTCCCACCACAAACGGGTATACTGTCTCCCCAAAGGATGCCTTGCTTCCCCACCAAAGATGTCCCAGGACTAGATCCAAAGACGCTGCCACTATTCAAAGGAAGAAATGTAAATCCTTCCACCAGCCCTCACCCTGTTCATTTCTCTTTGTCCCTGCACACTCCCCATACCAATTACCTAAAGTTAAATATTGAATTAGCTCAATATAACAATACGTTGAGAAAAAAATTGTATTAAAAACACATTGATTTGCTAGGGTACCTAGAAGTGTCAATCAATTCAAGGGCTATTAGGACTGGACAAAATACGCTGGCCTTACTTACAATAAATACATTTCATAAAAGAATACAGAAAAAAAATCATAAGACATTTAGATTTGGGTTCTGAACCTTAATAAGGGAAGGAGCGTACAATGCAAATTCATGAGAAATATACAGCAGTTTAAAGGGTTAGTTTAGGACAGTATGCATAATTTTGTTTTGTATTCCCTTAAATTTAGAACGTTAAGGGCTGGCCTATCAGGAGGTTGTTATAATGGGAAAGGGAATCGATCAAGTAAATACAAAGTAACAACGACCTACATTTATGTTGCACTATAGACTGTAAAAACAGCCTAAGGCCCCTTATAGGAGTGTCAAGACAAACTTAATACTGAGTCATACAAGATGAAAAATAGATCAGCAAAAGCTTGGTCAAAGAGGTAGGTTTTAAGGGCTGTCTTAAAGGAGACAGATTAGAGAAACTGTGAGATTGACAAAAATAATTCTACAGTTTAGCACATAGCAGTTGAAAGCACAGCTACCAATGATGAAACAGTTAAAATAAGGATTGTACAAGAGCCAAAATTGGAAATGGGGAGGTAGGAATGGAAAAATTATAGAAACAGGGAGGCTTGAGGGCATGAAGACTTTGCAATCAATGCTAAAAATTTTAGCATGGAGTGATTAATTAACAGAGTCAATATAGGTGATAGGTATTGGAACTTGGTGGAAGTTAGGATACTAGCAGCAGAGTTTTACATGAACTCAAGTTTATGAAGACTGGAAGATGGGAAGAAAGGTGAAAAAAAATTGAGAGATAACAAAGGAATGGATAAGCGCTTCAGCAGCAGATGATCTACAACAGTGACCATGTTGGGTAATGTTACAGAGGTGGAAGTAGGAGGTCTTGGTGATGAAGTGGACATGTGGGTGGAAGCTCATCACAGGCTCAAACATGACACAAGGTTGCAAACAATCTAATTTAGTCTGAAACTGTAACCAAGGAGAGGAACAGAGTTGGCAACTATGGAACAGAATTTGCGGTTATAAATAAAGTCAGTTATTTAGTTGGAAGGGAATTTCTGCACATTCAGTCCTTAATATTAGCCAAGTAGTGTAATAAATCAAAGACAGTGAGGGGTTGAAAGAGGCGACGGTGATGTAGTGATGTCATCATCATACACATTGAACCTCAAACATTTTTGGACGATTGCACTGAGCAATGATAGTGATGGGGGGGGGGGGGGGCAGGCGGGACGGGCGGCGCACACACGTGTATGTGTGTTGGCAGTGAGACAGAGCAAGGAGAAAGCATTGCAAATGGCTCTGTTAGGAACATCCAAAAAAAAACTTCGAATCTTATTGGAGCCAAGCCATTTGGGAGCAAAATCAGGAAGCATGTGTCATGTTGAAGGTAGTGAAAATCTGGAATTGTATCCCCCAAAGCCTGTGGAGTTTGGGTCAATTGAAAATTTTTAAGACTGAGATCACTAGGCTGTTCAGCAAGGGGATTAGGTATACTGAACAATTGAGATTCCAGCACAGATCAGGTGTTCTAACTGAATGACAGAATAGGTATGGGTAAGCTGGACGTCATTCAAAGTAGAATATAGAATTTTCAATGTGAAATCTATAAAGGGTGGATAATGGAAAAGTTAGTATTGTAGTAATCAAACCTCGTGACAATTAAGATGATAGAGTAGATAATGACAAGAATGGTAGAAATATTTTCCGCTCTCAGCTCAAGATATATTGCACGTTGAAATCAACACCCTGGCATTATAAGTCATCCACTAAGAAAAAAGAAAACCACAGATAACGAACTGAGAGAAACACAATAACCTGAATTGTAACAAAGTTACGAAATAACTTACAACTGGAGCATTCCTGAAGCCTTTAATTGACTGAAATATTCCACCACCAATGGCACCCATTGTAAAAGCTCCACCACAGTCATCAACTATCCTCCACGGGCTAATGAAAAGAAACATTACTTAGTTGATATACATTATAAATTATAACTTAGCCATATTAGATGTTCAACTAAGGAGATAAGGCAAAAGCAAGTTCACCATTTCCTTCTACTAACCAATTTCATGGCTGCTCTAATGATAGTTATGTAGAAATCCATAATCCTACCCTCTGTTCGGCTCAGCATGACCACAACATCCTGTACTGTATTTTTTAAGAAAGTTTTCGATAAAGTTTACTCACAACGTTACAGCAAACAATTGTTGACATAATTTTCCTAGTAACTTTTTCCATCAGAAAGATGTCAAAACAATTAAAATGTCTTTTGTTACTGGTTAAAGTAGTGGGACATCTTTGGCTATTGCCTTACATGTCATCAACAGTAATTTCTCAGTCCATTAAACAGCATGATTTTTCTCAATCCACAATTTAGCCAACTTCCCTTGAACTTCAAGCTACGACAGATCTCAAAATTTACAGCTATCATAACAAAAAGCAATTTTTACAGAACAATTTTCAGTAAATTTGCTCAATTACAAAGGATGTTCTGGAATTTGTAAAGATTAAGGACACTCATTTTCACAGATTACAGGAATTCGGCGCAAATAGTGAGAACCTGTGAAAGCAAACACACAAAACAAAATCTTTACAATTAAAATCATTCATCAGTATCAGTTTTAATGGGTGGATTTCACATAGAAATGCAGCTGGCAAATGCAGTGAGCAAATGGCATGGGAATTTTGACAAAGCAACAATGCACAAAATTCAAAACCAGGATTGGCAGGTAGACCTAAGTGGGATAAAAATAAGATATTTTCCAGGACTATGGGTAAAATAAAGCAAGGTTCATATTCTATTGAGTTAAGGTATGTCTGGAGAACAGAAAAGTAAAAAGAGTCAAAAAATATTAAGGGTGCCATGCATTGTAAGTCTAATACTAGAAGGATGAAGCAAATGAATGTATAGCTGGCAAAGTGCTGCAGGAGGGAGGGCTTTAGATTCCCGAAACATTGGGACTGCTTGTGGGGTAGGTGGGAACTATACTAGTTAGATGTGTTACATTGAATGTCGTTATGGAGGTTTAAATTAAATTGAAAGAGGTATGGGATCCCAGGTAGTAGTTCAGAGGGAAAGCGAAACAGAGATAAGTTAAAACGTTAATAAATAACACTGAAACAGAGGAAAAAGAGATTAGATAAGAAAGAAGTCAGTTTATCAAAGCTAAACTGAATATATTTTAATGCAAGAACCCCGAGGAATAAGCTAAATGAGCTGAAGGCACTGATACGTATGTGGATGTATGATATCCTAACAATGACTGAGACTTAGCAGACAGATGAGGAGGATTGGCAGTTCAACACTCCTGGTTAGCTCAGCTGGCTGGTTGCAATGCAGTGATACCAACGGTCAAGTACCACATTGACTGAGGTTACCAAGAGGATTCTGCTTTCTCAACTTGTTCCTCACCTGAGGCATGGTGACCCTCAGGTTAAACCCACCAGTCATCTCTTTCTAATAAAAGAGCAGCCCTACGGTCCTCTGGGGCTATGGCAACTTTATCTTTAACTACAAAGGCCCCCAACAGAGGAGTATAAAAAGTGCAGGGGTATCTAAAAAGGAAATTAGGATGAGAAAGCACGTGCAATGAGAAAGCACTGACAGGTACAATAAAGGGAAACCCAAAGGGTTTTTTTTAAAATGAAAAGAATAACTAGGCACCATGGTGGGTACATGAGTGTCTGTGTGTGTATGCAGCTGCAGGGTGTGAACATCTTGCAGTCTTCGCAATGGAAAAGGATAATGGTAGTATAGACATCAGGGTGGAGAACTGTAAAATATTAGAAGGGCTTAACATATATAGAAGTAGTACTATAGCATTCAACAATGTAAAAAAGTGGACAACTCTGCAGGCCAGATAAGATGCATTGAGCTTGTTGTGGGAAGCAAGGGAGATTTCAGAGGCTCTGCCAGTAATTTTCAAACACTTCTGGCTACTGAAATGCTGCAGGACTAGCACTGTCCAAAACAAAGACAAATTAAGCTCTCTGGACAGAGACCAGATTGTGCACTGTAACCAGGCAAACATCAAAGAAACTGCATGAAACCACCCCACCACACAAAAAACCCTTTTGTTTCCACAGTGACCTAATTCATGTCTAACAGTCAGCCTAACGGAAGCACAGCAAAAGGAAGGAGCCTGAGCAGCCAATAAATACATTACTCCAAAGAACCCAGTTCTGAAGAGTCTTGTCAGATTTGAAACATCAAGTCTGTTTTTCTCTCTGCACAGATGCTGTCAGACCTGGTGCATTTCTCCAGCACTTTCTGCTTTTATTTCAGATTGACATTATTTCAGTATTTTGCTTTCATAGGGTAAAGACATTACCTTGACAGTGGCTGCATTCCTACAGACCGCACCACCACCAGCTCCCCCTTCCTTAGGACACACACGGTTCTTACCTCCGAAGAGGTATGAGGCTAATGTTCAGGCCCTCACAAACCCCAAAAGAGTCAGGACTCTTTAAATATATCTGTCCCCACAGACCAGGGCACAGGCCTCAGGACTTTCTGCCCCCAGTGTCAGGCCATCCCCCCAGTTCACCTTCCTCCAAAGCTTAAAACCTTTACAACATCCCCTCAGGCCCCTATAAAGTCCCGAAAAATAGCAATACCACTACCACTACCACTCCCATCCACCCAACAAAAAGAAATTCTCTCTCTCCCCCCTCCCGACGACCCACAGGCCTGGACACTTCCCGCCTCGGGGACACACTCCTTCAGGAAGGTCACAGACGCCGCTACAGAGCGGGGGCGCGGAGGGGGGCGCGGGTGCGATGAGCCGGGTAACTGCCATGGAAGTTTCTAGATTCCCGGCGCCAACGTTCCCCCCTCCTCTGGGCACCTCCCCCCGCGGCACCTTGTATAACCCTGAGCCTGATTAAGGGATTCTTTTCCCTCTCTCAAAAGACCACCTCACCAAGGCTCGCGTGCATATTCCTCCATCTTCCTCAGTGACGTACGTCCCCAGCCACTAGGCGCATGCGCGGCACCGACATGCCTAAGAGCGCATGTGTAGAAAAGTAGCAATTGGAGCTGATGCCTCCTGATTTACGCTGATGTTATGGAGTGTGAGCGTTAATGGTATTGCCAGTCCGAGTATTTGCGGCTCCTCTCAATTACTTTTTGGAACAAAAGGCTAGATTTTGAAAATTTGAAAGACGGTCGTTTTATATATAATATATAGTTAGGAATTATTAAAGTCTGAAGGTTTTTTAAAGTCTGAGATCTGAACCAGCTCTTTCCAAGAAGACTTCTGAATGACGCTGGAAATCTGAAACTGAATCAGAAATTGCTAGAGAAACTCGGCAGGTCTGGTAGCATGTATTGCAGAGAAAGCAGAGTTAAAAGTTTGGGCCCAGTCACCCTTTTTTAGGACACTGAACCCAAAACATTGACTCTGATTTCTCTCCACAGATGGTCGCCAGACTTGCTGAGGTTCTCCAACACGTTCTGTTTTTGTTTGTTTCTGAATGACAAATACTGTCCAACTTCTCTTGTGTAATTCAAAATGGAGATCCAGCATAACCAGCACGTTCATTCCCAAGAGTTGCTAGCTTTTGGTATTAGTCCAACCCAGCCAACCTAACCTCAGTCCATTCCTATTAAAATACTTTATGTTATTATTTCGATTGTAAGCATTAGCCGCTTCTTATACTGACATCTACGTTTATCACAGTGTCTTAATTCGCTATTTCTGCTATGTTTCCAATACACTGACTGACATAAAATAAGAGAAAACTTCCTCCACGTGCATGAATGTGACCTTTTGTTCTCATACTGTTGCCTATTGTTATTTTAATAAGTGTAGACTTATGTTATTGTATAGATTCCACATCAGGTCAGCATATATCTTTAAGTCAGTTACAGGTCATAATGCCATGTTATGTTCCAAAACAAAGGACCCACCTAGCCTTTGTCACTTAGTGACAGAAATAAAACCAAGAACAACAGATGCTGGAAATCTGAAACAAGAACAGAAATTGCTGGAGAAAATCTGGTCTGGCAACATTTCTGGAGCAAAAACAGTCAACGCTTCAGATCCACAATGTTGTCAATGTCGTTCAATCATTCAGTTATGTGTATGTAATGTAGGATAACATCAGTAAGCACAAAAAATGTAAGCACAGATGATTGTAAGACAGAAAGCTATGTCAAAATGTTTTTCTGAAGAAGGGTCTAGGCCTGAAATGTCAGCCTTCCTGCTCCTCTGATGTAGCTTGGCCTGCTGTGTTCATCCAGCTCTACACCTTGTTATCTCAGATTCTCCAGCATCTGCAGTTCCTACTATCTATGTCAAAATGTGGCTGTTTTCAGCACACAAGCTCACAACTACCACACAGCTCAATTTAAGATACCAATCATAGTATGGTTGTTGATATATTGGCTGCCACATTCAATATGTTAAGTTTTCCTGTATAAATCGTGTCTGGAAACAGTCCGTAGTACACTCAAATACCCTTTCAAGATGTCTAGGAAATGTGGGGTTCAATGTATAAGAGTTGTCAAAAAGGCAGTCAAGAGATACAAGTGTTCCTATGTCTTTAGATGATGCCATGAAGAGACAGCATGTTGATGGTGGAGTGAAATCAGCTAAGGATGGATAGGTAATTATATGGAATCTGGAAGAAGAAAACACTGCCATGAAAGGGTTTCCATCCCTACTTCATAGCAAATATTGCTGAAGTACAATTTCTTCCTGTTACAGTAGATCAGATGAATGTTACAAATTTCAAGACATTAGTCGGTAACCATGGAGTTCCTCCAGTGTCCTTGTTAATATTCTTCCTTAAAGTTTCAGCACTAAGAACTTACATTGCATCTAGTTTAGCTTCTCACTTAACACTCTGCTTAGTAGCTTTCTAAAATTCTACTACACAAAAACAGCACCATGTACAGAACTCCTCCAATTTCATCCTCCTGATACTAAGCTACAGTCACCTATTATCCCTCATTGAAGTTACTTACAATTATACCTACTCATTCATCTTTCAGTTCCAGATCAATGTTTAAATTTTCTTTCCACCTTCACATGAAGCAACTTCGGACAATTTGGAACATTACAGGTGCTGTGCAAATGCAATAAGACTCCATCAACTTTTGGGTAAAAATAGTTATATGTAGTTCCTTTCATGGTCTTAACATTTCAACTAGATCATGCTGAAGTCCCTTCGTAACACACAGCTTCCTTAATATTCCCTCATAACTCAAATTCTTCATGCATAGCATCAAATTCTGTAGCATTGCCTGCATGGTGTCTCAGTGGTTAGCCTCACAGTGTCAGGTTCAATTCCAATCTCGAGCAACTGTCTGTGTGGAATTTGTTACATTCACTCTGTGTCTGTGTGGGTTTCCTTTGGGTGCTTTGGTTTCTTCCCACAGTCCAAAGAGTGGAGTAGTAATTACTGTTTTATAAACTGTTGCATTGTTTTGGAACTTTGGCTCTTTAATAAGGAGGAAGACAGACAAAGATAATGACCATATGGGAAGTGATTCAAATGGAGGAAGAAACCTACACTGCTGTCTGACCCAGCGGTAAACTGCATTGCTGCTGCCTTTGCTGTCTGGATTCAAGTATCTTTGAACATTGGAGTTCATTCTAAAGAAAATAAACAAACAGCAAAATTCACAGCTGATCTTGGAGAAACTTGTGTGGGAGCTCACAGCAGGGGAGCAGCTAAGTGGCTTTTTAAAGTGTAATCTTACTGTTTTACTTTGGTAAATCTGCAATAGTGAGTAGAGTGGATGTCTTTTATTTATTATATGTTGTTTTCAAGATTTGTCTCTTGATTAAACTTTAAAAATACAAAAACATAGGTACTAAGCCAGCCTGGAGCAGTGATTTTAGAGCAGCAAGACTGTGCTATTTTCTGGGTCTGTAGATTGTTAAGGTGCGAGGATGGCCTTTAGTAGAGTGATGTGCTCTTTCTATTGGATGTGCATGATTAGCGAGAGTTTCCACGTTACTGATGATTATGTCTGCAGGAAGTATGTTTGGTTGTGAATCCTATTGGAGCGCATGGATTGGTTGGAGCGGCATATCGAGGCAATGAGGAATTTATAGGAGCTAGAGGGTGTGATGGATGGCAGTTTCAGGGAGGGAGGTAAACCGAGCATACAGTCAGGTAGATAGGTGACCTCCAGAAAGGGTAGGAGAGGGAGGTAGGTAGTGCAGGAGTCTCCTGTGGCTATCCCCATCTCAAACAAATATGCTGTTTTGGAAAATGTAGGCAGTGATGGACTCTCAGGTGAATGTAGCACTGACAACCAGGTTTCTAGTACTGAGACTGACTCAAATGGAATGAAGGGTATGCCACGTTCCAAGCGATCAATTGTAATAGGGGACTCTTTAGTCAGAGGCACAGACAGATGATTCCGCGGTGACAGTGAGACATCAGAATGGTGTGTTAACAAGGTGTAGAGCTGGATGAACAGAGCAGGCCAGGCAGCATCAGAGCAGCACGAAAGCTAATGTTTCGGGTCTGGACCCTTCTTCAGAAAAAGGGTCCAGACCCAAAACGTCAGCTTTCCTGCTCCTCCGATGCTGCCTGGCCTGCTGTGTTCATCCAGCTCTACACCTTGTTATCTCAGATTCTCCAGCATCGGCAGTTCCTACAATCTCAGAATAGTGTGTTGCCTCCCTGGAGCCAGGATCAAAGATATCTTGGAGAGGATGCAAAATATTCTCAATGGGGAGACAGACCAGCAGGAGTTCGTTGTACGTGTTGGAACTAATGACTTTGGAAGAGAAAAGGATGAGATTCTGAGGAGAGAATAAAGGAAGTTAGGCAGGAATTTAAAAAGTATGTCCTCGAGGGTAGTAATATCACCACGAGGCAGTGAGGGTAGGAATAGGAGGAAAGAACAGATGAATGTGTGGCTGAGGAGCTGGTGCAGAGGAGAAGGATTCACAATTTTGGATCATTGGAATCTCTTTTGGGGTGGAAGTGATCTGCAAAAGAAGGACAGATTGCACCTGAATTGGAAGCGGACTAATATACTGGCAGGGAGATTTGTTACAGCTGCTGGGGAGGATTTAAATTAGTAAGGGTAGTGGTTAGGAACCAGGGAGATAGAGAGGAAAGAGATCAGTCTGAGACTGGTACAGTTGGGAAAAAGAGTAAGCCAAATAGACAAGGCAGGCAGGAACAAAGTAGAGAACCAGGTAGGACTAATAAATTAAATTGCAATTATTTCAATGCAAGAGGCCTAACAGGTAAAGCGGATAAACTTAGGGCATGTTAGGAACTGGGATTGGGATATTATAGCAATTATAGAGATGTGGCTCAGGGATGGACTGGACTGACAGCTTAATGTTCCAGGGTATAGATGCTATACAATGGATTGAAAGGGGGGCAAGAGAGAAGGGGGTGTGGCATTTTTGATTAGGAATCACATTACAGGATTAAGTGTATTTAGGGAGCATATTCCTGGGAATACATCTGGGGAGTTATTTAGGTGGAACTCAGAAATAAGAAAGGGATGATCACCTTATTGGGATAGTACTATAGACCCCACCAATAGTCAGTGGGAAATTGAGAAACAACTTGTAAGGAGTTCTCAGTTACCTGTAAGAATAATAGGGTGATACGGGAGGGGATTTTAACTTTCCAAACATAGACGAGGTCTGCCATAGTGTTAAGGGCTTGGATGGAGAGGAATTTTTTAAGCATGTGGAAGACAATTTTCTGACTCAGCATGTGGATGTGCCTACTAGAGAAAGGGTAAAAAATAACCTACTCTTGGGAAATAAAGCAGGGCAGGTGGCTGAGGTGTCAGTGGGGGAGCACTTTGGATCCAGTGACCATAATTCTGTTAGTTTTCAAT